TTGGCTTACCCTCTTCTCTGACCCAGGAGTGAGCCATCACATGGGCATCTGGTCTACCTCAGAACACTCTGCAGGGATACAGCCTGGCATATTATAAATTGTCTATTGGCGTGCTGTCTGCTTGACAGAATAGCAGAGTTAGTTCTGGGGACTTGCTTTGGTTAGGCACCAGATTTTGCTCTCAACAAGAGGGCGAATGATGCTGTTTGCAAATGTTTGAGGAAAAGTTGCTATCGCTTGTGCCCTTTAGCCAAATTGTGTGGGAATATACAGGTGTCCTTGAATGTGACTCTGGTAGGACTAACCTCTGGCTGAGTTTTGCTATGTATATTCTAATATGGAAATACATTTAACTTATTCATATTCTGGCATTTGGACATCATAGCCTATAGTCATGATTTCAAAAACCTTAGGTCAAGAGGTGCCCTACACAATGCTTGATACTTGCTAGCCAAGAAAAAAATCATACAAGTTTTTCTTTCTAAAATTTAAATTTATCTCACTGGAGTGCATGCTTTGTGAACAGGCGCCCCAGGTTTGCTCTCCAGCAACCACATAGTCCCCAAGCACAAGCACTGTGGGGAGTCACCCATCCTAGCTTCTACTAGGATTCAACTCCTGAGCCCTGTCCCTCAAAAAAAGACTTTTAACTTGACAATGCAAAGAAATACCCATCCCAGCAAAGGTGAAGGAAACTGAGTTCCTTAATGGCTTTGCCATTAAGTGAGAACTCGGGGCTCCAGGGAAGTGAAACCCCCAGGCAGGGAGAGAACTGCTGTGTTTGCAGGCTGTGAACTAGAATTAAGTCGACCTAGCACTTTTGTTGTGGAACCTATTAGGTATATTTCAAAGTTTTTTTCATTTTATTTTCCTGCTCTGTGGGTTAAGGTTGGAAATGACTGCAGATATATTTCATGTAGAATTTTCTTACTGTCTTGTCATTTAAAATGTTACTGTTGTGCAGAATGTGTGTGTATGTTTGTGTGTGTGTGTGTGTGTGTGTATACATGTGTACAAGTATTTGGGCCGAGAGATAGTATCGAGGGTAAAAGAGTTTACCTTGTAGTCTGCTGACCCGAGTTTGATCCCTGGAATCACATATAGTCCCCTAGGCACCTCCAGGAGTGATCCCTGAGAAAAATTGAAGACTTTAGACCTGAAAGCTGCTGGGTGTGGCTCACCCCTTCCCTCCCCCCAGTGTTATATTTCCCTTTGGTTACTGACCAACAGTTAATATATTCATTTTCTGTTGCTTTGTAACAAAAATGACCACAAATTAGTGTTCAGAGACAATACTCACTTATCTCCGAGTCCTGTGAGATGTGCAGGGGGGTTCTCTACTCCAGTGACTCTGGGGAAGATTCTGCTTTGAGGCTTGTGCAAGCTGTTAGCAGAATTCAGAGCCTTGAGGATGAAGAGTCCCTGTTGGGGACTTTCTGTTGGCTGAAGGCCTCTCGAAGCGCTTAGTACCTCCTCTCAGGCCCTGATGCTCTCTCCAGCTTCAGAGTCAACCATGGAGAATTTTCTTGCTCAGAGAACACTGCCTTCTATTCAGAGCTCTAATTTCAATGTCAGATACAGAGTCCTCCTCTGGTTCCATCACTGCACCCAGATGATTGCCTGTTTTGTTGTTGTTTTGGGTTGGGGGGCCACATCCAGCATTGCTCAGGGGTTACTCCTGGCTCTGCACTCAGGAATTAATCCTGGTGGTGCAGCCTGAGTTGGCTGCATGCAATGCAAGTGCCCTATTCACAGTTATTTCTGCAACCCCTGATTGCCTTTCTTAATTTTTCTCCAACTATGCTGAATAACTAGCTAATCACATCAAGACCACAGTCTTAGACATGAACTAGGATAAATGCTTTACACATAGTGCTTGGTCTATTGCCTGGTGTTGTGGAGATACTTAAAACTTGCTGATTGCTTTCTTCCTTACCTTTTCCCTATATAATTTTTTTGATTGCTGTTGTTGGTTGTTTTTTTGTGGTGCTGATCCAAGTAGCTTCTACCACTGAGCCACTGTATCGGCCTTCTCTGCCTCCCTCACTGCCTGCTGGCTTCTCAGAACTAGGAGAATAAATCTGAGAAGCATCTTGATGCTGATAGACTATTACAGAAAATATCTGCCTGACAAATGAAAGGTTGTTGAGGAAGGGAGCTTGTGTTAGGAACTATTTCCTGGTCACTCTTACTAGAACTGTGTCTTTTTGTAAAATGAGGCTTGGTGATTTCATTCCAAAGATCAAGTCGCAGCAATTTCCATCAGGAATGTTACCCAGTCATAGAAAAAATTGGCAACATTTACTCAACAGATGTCAGAGTCTTTCTTGAAGGAAGGTTCTCACAGCTGACAGGCTGCCATTAGTGCTGCTGCGGCAGGAGAGAGCTGGGGAGAGGATTAATGAGACCCACTGCGTGCCTGCTTTCTGGTCTACAAAAGAATTTGCAAATATTTTCACCTTTGTTCCCTCTTACGCCCCTGGTAGAAAGTGGGAGCCCCTCTATGTCCCCTCTGGGGAGCTTTCTGCTACTTCGCTTGGAGCATCTATAGCATTTTGTGAACTTGAAACCCAAGGCTGCAAGGGCTTGCCAACTCCTCACTTGCCAGCAGAGTGGAATGGGAACAAGGAGGGCAGGTAGTGAATGGGGACCCAGGAGGTAAAGCATCCTGGAGCTGTTGCTTTATTTCAGCCTTGAGTACCCATGTAACCGCCCCAAAGAGTGGATAGAAGGGAGAAGCTGAGCTTTCCTGGCTGTGTGGAGGGTGTTTCTGAACTATGGAGCATCCTTTGAATGAACTGTAAGAATGAGAGGAGTAGTGGCCGGGGTGATAGTACCGGGGCGGTGGGGGGGGGGGGGGGGGGGGAGGAATACTTGCCTTGCATAAGGCCGGCCCAGGTTTGATGCCTGGCACCCCATGTAGTCCCCTGAGCCCTTCAGGAGTGATCCCTAAAGCACAGAGCAAGGAGTAAGTACTGAGCAACACTGGGTGTGGACTGCCCCCCCCCAACACCACCAAAAAAAAAATGAAAGAAATAAGAAATTGCCAATTTTTTTTTAGTGTTGAAAGAAAGCTTTCTTGATAACCAGCTGAAATTTGGAAGATGGCAGACTCTTGTCTGAAAGTAACAGTTGATGGTAGTTGGGCAAAGTGGGGAGCAAGGGAGGCAGATTTGAAAGAGGCTTCCACCTTGGCCAGCAGCACTCAGAGAAATGCCTGACTTGGGTTGGGATTGGTAAAGTCTGTCACTAGCACCTACCTGGCATGGATGCTCACTTCCAGCTGTTCCTGATTCCGCTTTTTCTGCCCAGCATGGGAGATGATGGACAGGGAGCCATGGACTCTGGTTGGAGTGAGAAATTGCTCTTTGCAGGAAAGGAGAGCCAGTCCTGACCTTATTCTGGGGCCGTCACCTTCCTCTCACAGGAAAGAATTTCAGGAGGAGGCGAAATGCTGAAGCAAGATAGATAATTGTAACTGAAACTTAGGAAGATATGAGGGGATAAAAAGAGAAAAACTACATGTTCAGGGGGAGAAAATGGGATTCTCTACAGTGGGAAAAGCAGAGATATAAAGACAAACAAGCAAGATATGTGTTCAAGAGAGAACACGGGCTTGAAGAACATGCAAGAATTACTGACATTGGGGTTGAGCAGTAGTAGGCAAGGGGGGGGGCTTGGCACGCAGCCAAGCCAGGTTCAATCTGAGGCATCCCTTGTGGCCCCCAGACCACCTCCAGGAGTCATTCCTGAGTACAGAGCCAGGAGTAAGCCCTGAGCATTGCTGGGTGTGACCAAAAAAGAAAAAAAAAACTACCGACATTTTGCTGTACCTATTAATATTGCTGTGGTTATTTTTCTATCAAATATCATTCTATCCAGAGGAAACTCTAGACTGTATCTTCCATGGCCCCATCCCTCAGCTCAGAGAGAGAGTTCAGGGAGTTTCCAGGTGAGAGCCGTGGGAGAGGGAGGTTTGTCCCAGATTTCTGTGTACTGACTGAGCGGTCAGAGCTCTCTCTGTGTGTGTGTGTGTGTGTGTGTGTGTGTGTGTGTGTGTGTGTGTGTGTGTGTGTGTGTATGTGTGTGAGAGCACGCGCTGGGGGGAGTGGAGAGGTGAAGCGCAGCAGGAAGAGAGGGTGGGGTACAGGACCCAGTACAGATCTCTGAAATGGAGGAGGGGCCCATCCCACCACATGCTATTTCCTCCCTCTGCTTCCTCTTTAGTGGCAGCAGAGCTGGGCTGTGGGTAGTGCATCCCTCCCAGGTCAGACGCTGCAGCGGGCAGTGCCAGCAGCTGAGTGCACTGTCTGTAGCTCTGCCAGGCCAGCGGAACCAGTGTGAGACCTGCACATGGGGGATCTTTCCTCAGTGGGATGCTTGAGGGCAAAACCACCAACAGCTTTTCCTGCTCCAAAACTGTCTCCCTTCCCTCGGGAGTGGTGGGGGAAGGGGGAAAGGGAGGGGTCAAACTGGCTGTCCCTGCATCACTCAGTGTAGTTTTCTGCCATGGTTTGTCTGTGTGTGTGTGTGTGGGGGGGGAACCCAGTGGCTCAGGAGCACCATGGAGAGAGGTGGGGTCGCTTCCAGATCACTGGATGGTCACAGATGTTGGCTTTCTGCTGCATCTGATGCTGCCTTTCCTACACCACAGTTAGTCAGATGTGCTGCAGCAGTGCATCCCAGGAAGAAGGGACACCCTAGAAATTGAGTGAGACAGATGCAGGAAGTAAGCCTGTGCTCTGGAGAAACAGCACCCACAGAGGCAGGATAGTCACAGACCTGCCACTAGGTAACGGGCTGTCCGTGAAAGAGCATAAAGCAGGGCACAACCAGGAGAGCAGGGTTCTGCGGACACATAGGTGGCCTAGGTGCAATGGCTCCTGCAACACTTTCTTCTCCACACGTGAATGTGCTTGAGAAACAGCTAATCAGTGAGCACTGTCTCTGGCCAGTAATTGTTCCCCCATATTAACAAAATCTTCTTTGTGATTTTGCAGCCGCGGCAGCCCAACCCTGACTGGCGTTACTCTGCGTCCCTGAGAGCCGGCATGCACAGGTATGTGTTCTGCTGTCTTACTCTTGGAGGGATGCATGTGTTGCTCAGATAAACTCAGTCTCCACAGGCCTGGCATTGGTCAAAAGGGAGAAGCAGTAGCTCCTCTGCCAGGGGATGCGATTACTCTTGTCTGCGTGGCTGTTCCTTGAAACAGGATTGTGGTCAGTGCCAGGTGCTTACCAAGTGCTGGCAAGCATGCCCCTTCCCGTCAGTCTGCTGTATTCTTTCTCTGATCAGGACGTCTGTGGGGGAGTAATCCTACTCCTCTCTTCCCTTCTCAAACTGAACTTCTTGTCCTTTTCTTTAAAAAACTGTAATTAGGGGTTAGAGCCCCTACAGTAGGTAGGGTGTTTTCTTGCACACAGCCAACCTGAGATCAACCCCCCCTCACCAAATGGTCTCCCAAGTCCCTCCATGTGTGATCCCTGAATGAAGAGCTAGAATTAGGACCTGAGCACTGCTGGGTGTCTTTGCCTCACCCCACCCCCCAAATGTGATTAAAGGGCTGGGGCAGAGCATTTGCCTTGCAAGGCCGCAAGTCCAATCCTGGTGCCAGATTACACTGCCCCGCCCAACCCTGCCCCAGCATTGCTGGGTGTGACATCTCCAGGCGCCTGTGCATTGCCAGATCTTGCACTCACAACAATGACTGGGGAGATAGCACAAGTGGTAGAGCAAAGGCCTAGCATAAGGGAGAGCCCCCACTCTCCAACCCTGGAACTGGTTGGACCCTAAGTATGATCAGGTGTGGCTGCTGTAAAAGTGACAACCAGCAAGGCCCAGGGATGGGCTCAGTGGTAGGTAGAAAATGTGCCTTGCCCACGTGAGGCCCTGGGCTGCATCTTCAGCAGCAACATCAGGCTTATAATCAACTGTGATGGCTTTTGGACTTGAGTACGTTGCGTGGTATAAATGGACCTGTTGTCTACCTTGGTTTTCTATCATACATTGACAGTTGGATCCTGTCAGTCACACTTGGTTGTGATTTCTTGTTTCTGTTCACCCCCATTAAAGTCTCCTTATCTTTTCCACCTTGTTGCTATCTTTCCCCATCCTTGGCATCTTCAGAAGAAGAGCTGGGGGCCAGCCTTTATCAAATATCTGGAGACCAAATCTGCTTACTATAGATTGACCTTGAATAATAGCATTACTCTAAGACTCAGCTCAAATATAATTTTCCTTTCTCTACTATGTCTCTTTTGACAGTAATTGATCAACCATCATTATTACCAGAGCTGACCTAGCATCCTCACCAAGGGCCAAACAGAAGATTCATTATTTTGGGGTGTCTGTGGAAACCAAGTGAGGAGAGCCAAGAAACTAATCACTACCACCTGTAGGATTTTTCCCTTCTAAAAGATGACATAAATCCCAGAATTAAGTCCTAAATTATATATGGGTAGCTTCCCCACCTTCGATCACTTTCTAAGGAGACTTTTCCAAGTCAGTTGAGTAAATGTAAAATTAGTTTTAGCCCATTAATTAATGAACACACTCTCGACCATCACATTACAAATTAAGCAGAAATCATTGTGTCATGTGTAAGCTCTGAACAAGAAACTGTCCAGGGCTGGATTGACTTTAGTGTCACACTGGACCCTGAGTTATGATTTTAGGTTGAAAAGCCTTAAGATGCCATCTGACACCCTTGGGAAGGAGCTGCCCATGGGTCTGCAAGTAGGACCATAACCGTCCTGGGGATGCCTGGCCTGTGGCCACACATGTGGGAGCATATGGCCGTGGGACCACACTCAGGGTCTTGCACCTGCTGGGCCTGTGCACTCCCACTCGCATTATCTCCCAGGGGAAACTTTTCTTTTCTTTCTTTCTTTGTGTGTGTGTGTGTGTGTGTGTGTGTGTGTGTGTGTGTGAACCTCCCAAACAGTGCTTAAAGGGCACCCGGGCCCCTCCCGGAGGACCTGAGGATGTTGTGCTGCTCAGGTTTTGGGGTGCGGGTTATTTGGAGGCTTCCAGGCCTATATCCAGTGATAGTGTGGTGCGGGGAGGAATTTAGCACTGGGAATTGAATTGGGGTTAGGTACCATGGACCCCAACCTCTGTACTATCTCCCCTGCTTGGAATTCCTTTTTGGGTTTTGTTTGAGGGCCACACCCAGCAGTGCTCAAGGCTTACACCTGTCTCTGTGCTCAGGGATCAGTCCAGGCAGGCTCAGGAGAACACATGGGTGCCAGAGATTAAGCATGGGTTGGCTCTGTGCCCCATCTGATGCAGCATCACTCTGGCCCCCTCCCCCAGCCCCCAAATTCCTGATGCGTGTCAGAAAGCAGCTTCTGCTTTTGCTGGGTCTGTGTCCTCAGTGGAACAGAGCAGAAAAAAATGGTGCCAGCTCACTCTTTCCGGCTGCATTAGTGCTTTACTTGAAAAGTAGCCAACCTGTAAAATATACCTTATAAACCACATTTGAAATAAAGTACTACAACAAGTCACTTTCTTATACAAGTTTAATAAAAAGAGAAAAACCAAATGTGTTCCTATAAGGTATACAAAAGGATGAGGAGATAACTCAAAGTGTGAGTCCCCCATTTTGGTTCCTGCCACGACATGCCCCTTGAACACCTCTATATGTAGCTGTGCTGTCCCCCGAGAACCTCCAGGTGTCCCCAACAATGTATGGCTGGGCCAGCATTGCCAGGCTGAGTATTATTAGGAGGGGACTCTGGGCTTCTTTCCACCTCCTTCCTCCACCCTACCCCCAAACCAGAAAAAAGATATTTAAGTAGGATGAGAGTGAAATGAAGGTGTTAGTGAGCTGTAATTTCTTCCTTACTGTGAAGTACATTAACTACGAGCATAAATAATGCTTGGCTTTTTCTTGGTTCTTGGCCTTTCCAGCTCTTGTTTCATGTAACTGTTCATTGGAAAATTCTGCTTAGTCTTGAGCTTGTCGGGGACTGCTGTTAGGACCTGGGACAACTGAAGGGTATTGGTAATTGGAGAGAAGATGGTGCATGTAGGTGCAGGGGAGAATAGCGCAGGGACAGAGCTACCTGAGTGGATTACCACTCACCACGTCGTTTAAATTCAAAGTAAGAAAATATTGAACTTAGAGATGGCTCCCTGGCCCCACCCTCTGCCCTGCCCACAGTGGTTCAAATTTGCTCTCACATTACCTCCTGGGTAGTAGCTCTTGAGTTTCAGTATTTGGAAGGTGAATTAATGTATGGTTTGGAAAGATTCTCTAATTTTGGTGAGGGCTTTCTTTTTCTTTCTTTCTTTCTTTCTTTTTTTTTTTTTTTAATTTTTGGGTCAGACCTAATGATGCTCAGGGGTTACTCCTGGCTCCACACTCAGGAACTACTCCTGGTGGTACTCAGGGGACCATATGGGATGATGGGCATTCAGGTGGTACTCAGGGAACCATATGGGATGCTGGGGATCGAACCCAGGTTGGCCACATACAGGGAAAAATCTTTACCCACTATACTGTCTTCTCAGGCCCCAAGAACTTTCTTCATAATATTTAGTCTTAGTGTCTTATTCCTTCTTTCATCCGAGTTTATGTATAAAATGTATATACTTCAACCTGTATTTGTGGGTAGACTGTGTGTTTGCATAAATGAATATTAATTTTCTTGCATAAATGAATAGGCTGGAGCGATAGCACAGCAGTAGGGTTTTACCTGGCGTGCGGCTGGCCCGGCCGAGCCGGGTTTGATTTCTTTGCCCCCCTCTGAGAGCCTGGCAAGCTACCAAGAGTATCTCGCCCGCATGGCAAAGCCTGGCAAGCTACCTGTGACATATTCGATATGCCAAACACAGTAACAACAAGTCTCACAATGGAGACGTTACTGGGCCTGCTCAAGCAAATCAATGAACAACGGGACGACAGTGCTACAGTGCTACAAATGAATAGGCCTCAGCCCTGGGGAATTCATGTTCTATTTCTGCTTGCTGGGAAGGGTCTCTGCAACCATGTGTCTGTCCCTGCAGCATCTGCACTGCAAAAATCAGTTCTGAGCCAGGATCTGCTTGTGGGAAAGCAGGTTCCTCCAGTCACAGGAAATGAATGAGGAAAAGGACACAAAGAGAGAGATGGGGAAAAGTGTATATGTGAATTGGACTGTCAGGCGGCTAGCAGCAAACTATTTTATTTCTTAAATTTTGTGGTTTGGGGACTACACCCAACAGAGCTTAGGGATGACTCTAGGCTTGATGCTTGCACGTCCCTCTGAGCTTGGTGTTCAGGGGTCCATGCAGGGCTGGGGATCAAATCTAGGGCCTCACACTTGCAATGCAAGTGCTCTTACCACCTGGCCTTAACCTCCAGAGCAAAATTATTTTAGTGCGGTTCCCTCCCCCTTCCTTGCTAGACTGGCTTCTGCAAATAAGTTCTCCTCTGCTTTGGCTTTAAGATGTTAAAATCAGCCCCCGTGGATTTAGTGGACACCACATGATGTTAATGAAAATCCAAATTGCCAGCAATATAAAACCTGTTTATGGCCTGAGTGGAGACAGCCACGGTGAGGGTGGGAGGGGAGGTGAATGCCCAGCAGTAACCCCTGCGGTTCCTGCTGAATGCTGAGGAGATGCATTGCCCCCAGGGGAACACCCTCTCTGGGGTGTGGGGAGCTGAACGGGTGTTTCTGGTCTAACTATTCTGGGTCTCTGTCCCCGCAGCTCTGTGCACCTGGAGGAGGCTGGCATTCTACGGGCTGGGCCAGGCGGCCCCGACCAGCAGTGGCCGACAGTCTCCAGTGCAACACCAGGTACAGAGCCAGGGTTCTGCCTTCTTGCTTGGGTTCTGCAAAGTCACCTGATGGCTTGTTTTTGTCAGACCAGTAATGCACATGACTTGTCTTTGTCTTCCTCCTCACCTGCCTATGACTTCCTTACATACAAGATTATTTTGATTTACTGCTTAGTATTTTTCAAGAGTTGAAACTGATAATGTAAGGGTGAATGTGGGTATAGGGGCTTATGTGGAAAATTCTTTTACCCAATGAGTGGGGGCCTTCCAAATACTTACCCAGCCATACAGAGAAGGGCAGGCGGCCTTAGGCAGAGATGACACTGTTAGCCAAAATGTTCTGGTTGAAGACAGTAGAAATGGACTCAGAGTCTGGAGTAAGAGAGAGATTGGGATGGGGGGAAAGGTTTCTTGTGAGTTGCGGGTTATCAGAGCCAAGCCCTGTGTCTGAGCCCTGTGACACATGGATCCGTGTCCATCCCCAGGCAGGCTTATTCCCCTGGGCAGCCACAGAGCCAGCAGGTTCTTACTCAGAGGACCGAAAGTGACAGTTCCTAACCCACATGTTCAGTTAGGAGACTCTGCAAGTTAGACAAGAACTCAGTAGCTGGGAGAACATAAGAAAGTAGTTTGAACCTATGTTTCATCACCTTATTATGCTTCCCCAGCCACTGGTACTGTGTTAGACAGTACGGCTTTGGAAGACCATCCCTGTGGCAGTTTCCAGAAAGGGACAATGATGAGCTCAGCTGAGACAATGGGGGTGTCTCCATAACCCTTTCTTAGGAGAACCTGATAATGATGGTGATAGGTTACTAATCATTAAGCCAGAATATAGCCAGACACGCTGCCACGTACTAGACATGCATGATCTCATTTATTCCTCATGAAGATATTTCAAGAGGATTATGACATCTAGTTTACACATGAGGAGTTAAAGACAGGCCGAGAAACACTGGCAATTTATAAGCAGCGAAGTGTTCAGACCTTTGTGTGTAGCTTCAGATTCAGATGCGTCTAGCATTTATATTCATAGCATGGCCAACTTGCAAGAATCTATCCAAATACAAATACATATATAACAGATGACATAAGTGTGTGAAGATATTTCCAAAAATAATCAGGTGCTTTTAAAATGATTAGGCTATCCAAGGAATGTGCAGTGAAGGCCCTGTTTCTGCTGGCAAGTCTAAGGGCTTTCATTGATTCTGATCAGCCAGCATTTGCTATTTATGAATGTCGCATAATTCAAGTAAAAGTCACGTTGGTTGAAAAAAATAACAAGTTAAAGCAATTCATTAGAGAGCTAATATTGCCAGATGGCAGTGGGGAGGAACATAAAATAAGTTCATTGACAAATGTACAACCCCAGTGCCAATGATGGAGCGAAGAAATGATGGAAGAGGAAATGGTGTTAGGTTTGCCATGTGCCTGCCATCCAGGGAGGCCTCTGGGAAGGTGAGAATGACTTAATCAGAGCAGCTCCCAGGATGGACAGACATCCCACTTTCCTCTTATTCTGGGATTTTCTTGTTCTCACAGAGGCTTTGTAGCTGAGTCTCTCAGGGAGCCGAGATGTAACTTTGCAGAATGTTCCCATCTGAGATGGAGTTGCCTGGCGTGGTATAGAGCTGTCTCCTGGACGTGGTGTCTGCTTTCAGCTCAGACCCCTCCTTCAGAGTCAGACAGGACTAGGAAGACGCCCTTGCAGAAGGCAGGGATGGAGTCTCTGTCACTCCCTTGCCTACTGACCTAGCCTCTCCTGCTGAGTGTGGCCTAATCATTCGGGCTGTGCCCGACTGGAGGGAGATGTGGGAACTGAGCCATCAGAATTCACAGAGTTCACACAGCCGGCTACTTTGCCTGTGACCTCACCATGGCCCTTCTCAGTACCCTCTGCCAGCAAGATCAAGTGGAAGATTCTCCTCTGTCCTCTGCTTTGTCCCATTGGTCTTTTAGGTTGCAGGACTCATTTGAGTTCTGCTCTTTGTGGAAGGAATATGGCATTAATGATTAAGTCTATGATTTGGAGATAGTTTGGAATTGATTTCTAATTTTAAACTTGGTTGGCGAGTCTAGACATGCTTTCTCATTGTTCCATCTGTGAACTGGGCATAATAATGATGAAGACATGCTTTTGTTATGTCTTGGGATCACACCCAACAGTACATGGGGGATAGTATGTGGTGTTGGGGATCAAATCCAGGCCAGCCACACACAAGGCAAGTGCCTTACCTTCTGTAATTTCTCTCCAGCCCAATGATGGGACTTAATCTGAATTGTCATCAGAAGAGGTTGTTGGGATTAGAAATAGAGTCCAGGGTTTAAGGCTCAAATCTTGTATGTGGCTGACCCTGGTTTGATGCCTGACTCCACATGGTCCCCCAGGCATCACAGAGTTCATCTTTCTGGAGGCCTCTATGTCTACATGGCTGGCCCGGATAATCCCCGACACCCAGAACCCCGGTGGCCTCGCATCTTTAGGTCCCACTATTGATCTGCTGACCTGATTGACTGAGAATCATTAGGAGGAGGTTCCCTGAAGACTATATGGGAGAGCTTCCTCTCACAACTCCCATAAAAGAAGAAATTATCGAATGGTATTTGATGTGCAGTATTAATAACTGTTGCATTGTCTTACTCCCTTTTTTTCTGGGGCATTTCTGTGCAGTCTTAATGGGTCTTGGCTGACATCCTGGTGACCAGCTGTCAATAGTTCTCTGCTCTACACTTGAGTCAGGCTCAGAGGTCATCCCTGACACAGGGTATCTTGACCTTTGGCTAGCTGTGGCCTCCTCCTGACCCTTCTTCTCTTCCGCACATCCTACCAGTTGGTCCTCTGGTCTTGTGCCGTGCCCGTCCCCCTTTACATGATTTCACCTGTGGACCCCCTGGAATAACCCAGTTGAGAAACCAGCTCTGTATCGTCTCTGCATCTCCACAGTCTAGTCATTCCCCCAATTCTGGAGAAGGAATGAGGGTAATTTTCTAGTTCTGTCCTCAGAAAAGGAGAAGATGTCAGAGGTGGGGTGGGTTCCAGTCTTAGGGAGCACCTGCCTTTGTGTGGTCACCGTCAGAGCTCCCGGGGAGGCCCCCCTCCACACCACCGTCAGCGCCCACACAGCAGCCAGGCCCCACTGCAGGCAAACCTCGGGCACGTGTATGTATACCTTTGGGTGTTCCCTGTTCCATCCAGGAAGGAGAGTGATGACTTGCTTTTTTCAATGAAAAAGGTTCAATTCCCACAGTCCACAAAACCTCTGACAAGCTTCCATGCACTGAAGGGGTCAGTGGAGACACAGGTCAGCAACCTGTAGTATCGGCGAGCCTGGCTTTAAGCTGGTCAGTCCTGATCACTGGCCCCTTCTCTAGCCTGCCTATGCGCAGACCCGAACCCCGGGTGCTTCCCTGGGTGGGGGAGGACCCAGAGTTGAACAGAGGGAGAGGAAGTCACCTCTGCTTTGGGGATGACATGGGGCAAAAGGTGGCATATTTAAGTTGCTCTGTTCACTCTTTCTCAGTGTGAATGCGCTGTGGTGGTTTCAATAAGTGCCCTCTGGGGACCAGTTCCTGGAAGGAACCCCAGGAGGGTAGAGGGAACAGTTCTGGCCCTGTGGGCATAGGCTACTTTGCTTGCTCCTCCAGGCGCCTCTTTCTGCTTCTCATGAGGGTCTCAGGACAACAGGACATCATTGTAGGGGTGGGAGAGACTAACCATTCTCAAGAGAGCTCAGGGATTATCAGGGCACACAGCTCTGTCCTACATGATGTCATAGCTTGTTAGGCAACCCTTAGGGGCTGGAGCAGTGAGGGGAGCAGTGAGGGGAGCAGTAAGGAGGAGGCAGCCAAGGCCATGAGGCTAAGGGGCACCTTTATAGGTGCTCCCCAAATTGCATTCCTGGGGCAGCATTCCTGTGGGTACCTGCCTGGGGTGGGCACAGCCTCAGGGTGTGCCTCTGTGAGTTGAGTATATGTGTGTGTGTGCGTGTGTGTGTGCGTGTGTGTGTGCGTGTGTTGTGTGTGCAGAGCTGCTGCTGGTGCTCTACCACTGAGACATAGCCTGGGAGCAAACCTCTTGCCCCTCATATATAATCCTACTATTTCCTCAAGTTTGAAATATTCCTGAAATCTGGTGGCTCAGAAACCATAAGTTGGACTTTTTCTTAGAACTCTGCAAAAGAGGGTGTGCTTCAGCAGAGAGAATGGCCAGATCCCTGGATCTGGGGCAGAACAATTCTGCCCCCAGTTCCTGTTCAGCGACCCAGTGGTTCACTGTCCTTGGGGCCAGTCCTGACCTCGCTGATTCCCAGTTTCTCAGTAAGATTAGAGTTAGTAGTAGTAGTTGTTACAATAATTAAATGAGGTAACACACACAATTGCAAAGCCTGAGGGTCAGTGTTTAATAAATGGTAGCACTATTTTTTGAGGGGGGGTGGGGGATGGCATATCAAGGGTTACTCCTGACTCTGTGTTCACAAGTTGCTCCATGCAGTGTTGGGGATCAAACTGGGTTCAACCACATGCAGAGCAACTGCCTTAACATGGGCACTGTCTTCCCAGTCTGTGTTAAAGAGATTTGCTAAAGTGCTTGTAGTTGTACTTCCTTGGGGGCTGCCTCCTGGTTCACCACATCGCTTTGTTCTGTAGCAAGCAGATGCTGTTCGTACACTCTGGTTTTAGTGGGGATCCCAGCTCCTCCTAATGGTAGGGAGTCGTTGACGTCTGACAAAACTCCCCATGGAGGGGTCCCCCCGAAGGCCTCATCTCGGATTCTTCCCCAGAAAGAAGTCCAGTGCTGTCAGTTTTTTGAGATCCTGTTCGGAGTGCTGCCAACACGAATTTCTCTGCTTCGTGAGTGAGCGCAGCCTCAGGCCTCACTGGGGAATTTAGAGCACGCTTGTTCCACTAACCTGCTCACCCTGGACCTCTGCTGTTGTCATGGCAATGACAGTCCCTGGAGGTGTGTGCATGTCCTTATTA